GGGGGTTCAGCAGCACGGTGCTCCGCGGGGGGCTGGGGGTGTTCAGTGGCGCGGCGCGTCCGTGAGGGGGTGGCGGCGCGGTGCTGAGGGTGTGTGTTATGGCGGCGCTATGGAGGGCAGCACTCCACAATCCACAACTGCTCAGAATCTCTCCCCAAGACATTTGAAGAAAAGCCCCCAAGCATGCCAGTGAAAGCACTGTCAGGTGGAATAACTGCTAGAGTCAACCCCTTCCCAGTGTTTTACCCACTTGATTTTCTCTAATATTTCTCTCTGTTGGGTATACCGTCAAGTCTGCAGAAGATCCACACGCATTAGGTGCATTACCCCTATTGTCATTCCAAGAGCTAATTCTCTCAGCTGTAAATTATCTATTCCTGAATTCTCCTCCTTGGGATAACCGTATAGATTTGAAGACTAACGGTCTTTGTCCCAGGAAAATCTTCACCTAAGAAACAGACTTTGTGCCACTGAAATGATCAGTGCTTAGATGCCATAGAGCAATAGAAGATTTTCACACGCCACCCCCTACTGCAGCCAACAGTAGTTTTGTTAGTTGTGTCGCAATAGCGCATGAGGGCTCAAGTCATGACTCAGGGCCCCACTGTGCTAACCGCTGTAGAACCACACAACAAAAAGGAGGTCCCTGCCCCCATCCCTCTCATTAGAGCTGCCATCAATCAGCCCGTACAATAATACTCCTTACCCACGGTATTGGCCACATCACTCTCCTTTTGAGAGGAATCAGAGGAATGGGCCAAGGTCAGAATGCTGTGGGAATCCTTTGGAAAGTGGAAGGGGGAGAAGGACCCACCAAAAGGCTTTGATAACCAAAAGAAATGGTGCAGGAACAATGAGAGAGGTAGGAAAACCAGGAGAGCATGGAGTGTGCAAATGAACAACGAGCTCTCTGTCAAGTTTCTCTGGCAAGCGCTAAGTGAGCATCATCATATTTGCATCTGTCAATAGCAGAATTATAGAAATTAAAATGACCCTCACATTGTACATTTCATTTTTATTTAAGTGGAAATTTGAACCCAAAATTCTAGACTTTTAGCAAATGAAAGTTTTTCCAATTTACCTGAGGAAGTACCAGTTACTTCTGGTCCTTTGGGAGGGACAGTCGTGGGTTTGTCCTGGGTAATTATGACTAAGGCAAAAACAGGAGGAAAAAGCAGTTATGAACATTACATCAATCTCCCATCACCAGCTGGCCACTCAGAGCCAGGAGCTTGCCAAACTAATGTTTAGGAATCTGCATCTTTAGAGACATGACAGACTTATCCCACTTACACGTTGTCACCGTGAGAGCCCCTGTACTATCAGTTGGGCTACCCCTGCAGACTGCTGCTGGGATCCCATTCCTATATTCTAGGGGAAACCCATAGCAACCCCTACCTTGAGCTGCCTACCACTTTCCTTTACAAAAGTTCTCTTTTTTTTTTTTAAAAAAGAGCTCTAACTGTTCCGTAGTTTGCAGCAGGGATGTGAAAGGCTCAATACGGTGCCTCTTGCTGCCATTATGAGTTACAAACTGCCAAAATCTGTCATTTCCCTTCAGTTTTACTCATCAGAACTTCCTAGAGTGACTTCTAAACCCTTAAACTTGCTGTTCTCACTGAGCATTCTCTGCAAGGTGTTATGTGGAACTCAGAACTGTGCATCTCCATCCCTCACATCAAAATATCGTTTGGCCTAGGAGAAGGTGCACCGTGTTGGGAACCAGGAGATGATGAGTTCAACTCTCATTATTTCTACTGACTGGTGTTAACAATCCGGTTAACAGAAACAAGTTATTACAATTGCAAAACACTAAGAATTTAGGAAACCACAGAGTTAAGGTTACCCATGGAGATCTTAATTTTTCCTTCTTGTGTGTACGTGCAGTGACAGCCACTTTATAAGGATTATGTTTCCAACAGCAACCAGGTTTCCCATAAGTCATATCTTTAGATGATTAATGCCTAACTGAATTTCCTTATGTTTATGGGTTTGCCTAGCAATCAAAATAGTTTTTTTCTGGTGGGAGAAAGTAGAGCAAGAGGAAGATAAAAACAGACAGTCACCTTTGCATTCAGGGGCAGGCCCATTCCAGACTCCATTGATGTTATCTCTAGTTGTACAGTGAATGGAGGCCTTTCCAGTAAGTGAGAAATTATCATCACATTTGTAAGTTACCGATGAGTTACAGTCAAAGATTTCCACGTTGCTGCCATTGTGCATCCCATTGGCAATATTAGGAGGAGGAGAACAAGTAATCGCTGAAGGAAAAGAGAACGGCATCATGAATATTAATGCACATTTCAGTTAGAGGTGAATTGTAAAGATTAAATAAACATTTGTTTACAATTCCTCCCGAAAAGGGGGAAAAATTCAACCATTTGAGAGTGTAAATAGTACTGTGCTTTAACAAAACGTGAGGCACATCCGTTCAGCTAGAAGATTTTGGCTCTGTTAAACAAATCCCGGATAACAGCCTTATCAGAACACATCCCTCCCCCACATTATATATAAGGAACTGGGACTCTTTGATTGACATCCTTGAAAGACAACAGTTGCACTTCTACAATGTTCCAGAAGCTGAACGCTTAAATTAGAACTTTCCTCCTAACTGTAGCTACTTCTAGACCAGACGGCGAGAGCCTGGTTGACAGATCCACCCAGGCAGTGTCCAAAAGGACAAAAAAGTTAAAGCAAATAAATTGGGAAGAAGTTTTAATACTGGATTTCACTCCAAAACAGCCTCAGATTTTGAGTGTGGAGTCCAGGGTTGGTTGGTTGGTTGGTTTTGAGGGAAAGGGAAGGGAATAGTTAACAGGGAGGAATTACACTAAATAAAAAAAAGTTGGATGAAAGACTTCAAAAGCAGCAGAGATTATCTGGGGAGGAATGAGAAACTAATCAAACCCCACCATCCCCGTGTTCAGGGTTCAATTGTGTTTAGGTCATTAGTTGGGCTGGAATCTATACACCAGACAGCAAGCTCAAAGGGAATGCTCTGTAGGGATAGAGAGGATGTGGGGTTTTTTTGTTTGTTTGAAATGTGGCTTCTACAGAAGGCACCAGCAACACAATGGATCCTCCTACACTTTCATCATGTCTCCCCTCTCCCAAAAATATGTATGTAATATTCTTGCACAGGAAGTACTGCATACTGGCAATGCAGTCACTTAGCCTTCACTACTTCCTTTAACACTGCAGGTTAAAGGTCGTGGCCTTATTTATATATTGATTGATTGATTTATTTTCCTTGTGCACCCGGTCTCTGCGATCCTATCCGCTCTCACAGCTTTGGATGCGATCGTTATATTGACAACTCACAAAACTCCCGTTTGGATTCCCTGCCAGTAGCTTAAACTGCATGTGGCAAAAACAGAGCTTGTGTCCCTTGCAAATCTTTCCTTCTCCATGACCTCAGTCGCCACTTATTGAACAAAATCCTCCTCCTCTCAGCTGCTCATGCCTGTAATCTGGGCATTAGTTTTGACTCAGCCCTTTCTAGGGACCCTCATGTCCTGGCTACATCCAAATCTTGCCATTTTCCCTTCTTAACTTCTCCAAGATCCAGCTTTTCTCAGTCCAGACTGCCAAAGCTCTCATCCAGTCCCTTATATTCTGCTCTATGGACTTGGCTTTTTTTCAGGTTATCTCAACCCCTATTCTGTTCATCCCTCCACCAGGACGCCCTTCTTTACCACATAAAAAATAAGCTTCGCATCCTCTCTTTCAAAGCACATCTCATCACAGCCAGGGCCGGCTCTAGGCACCAGGAAAACAAGCTGGTGCTTGGGGCGGCACATTTTTAGGGGCGGCATTCTGGCGCGGGCCATGCCACCCCTAAAAATGTGCCCCGGCTGCCCTAACTCACCTCCGCTGCTGCCGCTCGCGCGCCGCTGCTCGCCCTCTCTCCCAGGCTCTCAAACCCGGGAGGGAGGGGGAGACCCCGAGTGGCCGCGGCGCACGCGCTGCTTCTCCCTCTCCTTCCCTCCCTCCTAGGCTTGAGAACCTTGGGGGAGGAGGCAGGGCTGGGGATTTGGGGAAGGGGCGGAGTTGAGGCGGGGCCGGGGGTGGGGTAAGAAAAAAAAAGGGGGGCAGGGGGACCAAAATTGTTTTTGCTTGGGGTGGCAAAAATCCTAGAGTCGGCGCTGATCACAGCCCTGCCTTCCCTACCA